GCTTACTATCAAATACACAATGTTTATATCTTTTCTTTTACACCGAAGCCATTAATGTAGTCATTAAATCATCCATTATCAGGAACGGTGTTAATTAAAATTCAGCTTATATTTCTTTTTAATTGTGTAAGTGAAGCTGAAGTGCATTAAGGAAACAAAGTATCTGTTTTCTTGTAAAACATGTTATGTTTTTGTTGCGAAACGTTCCTTGTTGTTTTTTCTGTGATACTTGCAAATACAAATTTTTCGCTAAAATGGGAAAGAAGCAATGCAAAATAAAATACATGCGACAGCAGGATATAAGACTGTGCGGTATCTGTCGTTCTAAATGACATAACGTCTCCCAACTGCTTTTAAGCAAAATTAAAGAGTTACTGTAGTAAACCAATAGATGAATTGATAGATAATTTTAAGTTGTTAAGCTCAATTGTATATGTTCAGCGCTATGTAAACATTGCCTGCAACTCAAGACACTTCTTTGGCAATTGTGGGACTTGACTTTGGAAAGAGTTGAGAAAACTTATTTATTAAAGCTACTTTCGTACATTTAATTCTTTTAAAATACGCAAGAAAAAAAACTTCAATTACAATGTTTGTTTTCTAATATAAAAAGTACATAATCAACTGACATTTCAAAGAACCGAATGCGTCAGCAATGTAGCAATATCTTAAATTAGAGACTGCACTGACTACATTTATTATTCCTTGGAAAAAACTTAGATAATGATAAATGAAATACTAAAATTTTGATTTCCTCTTAATTTTTACTTTTTATTATGATTTCTTATTAAACCTTATTTTGTCCGGGAGTAAAACCCTGGTTTCGCTATGATTAAGAATTAACGTCACTACTTTGTCATGTACATGATTTATGTTACATCACCAAATCCAATGTGCAACATGCTATAAAAATTCTCCCATTTTCTTACTGAAACATAACTGAATTGCAAAATGTCAAATAAATTCTATAACGTGTAAAAATTGCATGCCGATGGAATGAAATTGCATCTTTTCAACTAAAATTAAACCAAAACGTGTTGTATTGAATGTAAATTTGCATGAAACTTTTATCAAATTTTGCCATTTCAAGAAAAAAGTTGGGTTTTTATTTTTATTACGATCTTTTTTGTTTGATAATCCTTACAAGACAAGAAATCTTCTCAAACAAGGTAAAACATAATAATAGAGGTTTCTACAAGAACAATATGTTACAAAGAATATTTCCAAGACTTCCTCTGAGACGAAACATCCGTGAGTTTATGATTACATTATTTATTGTTGTATAAATCGCCTTTTGCAACATATTACATATAAGCAGGATACATTTGAATAAACTGTTAGAATTAAATATGAAAACTCTAAATACATTCTGATACAAACTTGTGTGACAAAGAGAAACAAATAAATCAGATAAATTATTTGAGTAGAGTTGCAGTCTGTCTTATAATTCAGTTTGATTGACATGGAATAGAGTTTACTGTAGCGTGGTTGTCATAATCAAATTTCCCTTGCCCAAATACAGTTCATGTCTTCTATATCAACTAAAAGGAGAGTGTACATCTTTAAAACAATTGCATTTTTGTCTGGTTGTATTCGTTTAAACATACTTACTTATCCAGTTACGATTCTTTGGTCAGATATCATCCTTAAATGCAAACTTAAACAATTTTAACATTGCTAAAATGAAATCACGTACCTCGTTAACATTCATCTGTCAGATACAAATTATGATTTTATGTTATTACCGTGGACTTCGTTCTTTTACAGCAGTATATCAAAAGAAAAAGAAAGAAGTCACCTCGTAACATTGCGAAGTGAATGATTACACACATTTAAATAACTGTAATAGTTATTGTGATTTCGATACAGATAGTATGATTGCTTAGTAAACTGCAAAAGAAAGGTTATCGTATTTTTGCAGTAACCGTCTTGTAGTATGTACTCAAATATTGGGCAAGTTGTATTATGCAACTCTCTGTTAATAAGTTTAATTGAAACAGAACCTTGTAGAAATACGCAAGCTCTCATTATCGCAGTGTTTAAATAATATCAAGTGTACAAAGAAAATAGACAGTTAAAATAAATTATATTCTCCTACATCATATCCACTTGCACACGGGAAACACATTTCTTTCCACAAAAACCTTAAATTGCATGTGCGTTTGATGTAAGAACTCTTATATTTTTCCAACATATGTATAGTGTTTTCAATGTAAACACCCATTAGCATCACAAAGAGTATAACATCCATCATATTTTAGGTTTTGTTGACTAGAGGGCGTAACTATGCACTTAATAAAAACATTTTCTATTTAATATTCATATTAAATAGTACCGCCCTTATTACATTCTTCGCAATTAGAGATAATGGTTTCGATTTTTAGATAATAGAAAAGAAAGATATTGGAAATGAACCTAAATATAACAGTAATTGATGATTTATTTGAAACAAGAGGTTGTTGAATTAAGCTTCAATTATGATTTTCGTACAATAATCTTGATAAATTAAATAAGAAACAAAATATATGCTGTACCAAAGGTTAAATAATGCTTACGTATTTTTTTTCTAATATAATACCTTCTTGTCTCTTACTTCTAATTACATCAACTTGTATGTGAAACACATGTTTTTCAAAACTGTACAAGTGACAGTTTACCAGAAGGACTAATAAAAACAACAGCAACCCTCACTACACTAACAATTACTTAAGAAAAATGAATCAACAATAATTCTCTTTTAAGAAATCAGTCATTAAAAAACACAACAACAACATAATAGTTATATATCATACTACTATGAATGAGTACGGGAAAAATAAGCTTAAATAAATCATTCATTCATTATACCATTCCATTACATCTTGCTTAAGCACGTTGTAAATTGAAGGTTTCACTAAAATATACAATGAATGAGTACGGGAATCAATTAAGCTGTAATAAATCATTCATTCATTCATTATACCATTCCATTAAACCTTGCTTAAGCACGGTGTAAATTGAAGGTTTCACTAATATTCGCGGGAATGTCTCACAATTTGCAAACATAGATAATTCCTGGTGAAAGTAAATGGCTTAAAACCATTATATACACAGTATAGTCTGATTATGAGAGACCTATCGTCTTTAATCTATATAAATACTCGGATATACGCATTAAATTCGATTAAATGGCAGAAATTACATTATTTATTGATCAAAAGGTCCAAACACACCAGATATCGTTCACTATACAAGCAAAGGATACATTTCTGTTAGAAAAGAAGCAGGTTATATAGCTGTACATAGTTTTTATCCTTAATTTTGTTATATTGAAATTCTGTTTTATATTTAAATATCAACAGCACAAATAATAAAGGAATTACCCTCATTTGGACTAGTTGGTTTGAATGTCTGGTTTTATGACGCATTATCACTATGAAATTAAAAACAATCCTTAAAGTCATTTTAAAAATGACGTTAAAAGATGTTAAAGTTGTCAATGACGTTAAGAATTAAAAAGAATTACTATTGAAATGATGAAATATAGATTAAAATGTAACCATAACCAAACTTCAGAAGTTTTCTATTTATTTCAAGAGCTAAAGAAATGAAAAACTTAAATAATTCAAAATGTAAATTTGAAAAACAGTCAATGGCGTTGTGTGTTGTTTTGTGTCATGCCGGCGTTCATTAATGTCTTATGTTTACTTTCTTACTGCACAACCTAGACATATGGAGTCTAAGGGAATATTGTTGTAATAACCTTTTGTTTCACCCATGATATTGATAATAATGTTCTCTTTTGAGGATGATATGTTTGTCTAGCTCTTTAGTAAACGAAAGCAACATAATGATGTACATTCTCATAAAACAACATTCTATCAAGACAAAGTACAGGAAAATGACTTAAAACGGACCAAAGCTTTAAATTTCATCTCATATAATTACAATGTAGTAAAGAAAGGATCCAAAATCAAGGCGACATATTAGACTACCGGCAGTTTTACTTCTTGTACCTTCATATTATAACACATGCCAAATTAAAAACATTGAATAAATAAACTAAAACGATGTCCTAAAAGTGAATATATTTTAGAGGACAAATCATTCAAGAATAGGGAAGTACACCTATGTCTTGTTATGAGGGGATATTGCATTCCATTAGTATTGTTCACATATCATATAAAACATATTGAGGACTGTTACATATTTTTATCTTTTGTAGTAGCAATGTTTTAAAACGAAAACATTTCTTCTTCACTTTATTACAAAGTGATGAAAATACATCTAATATACACTTTACCAAATACACTTATTTATTGGTAAATGAGTCAAACAGATCACACGAAAACGAGTGCAATGACCCCCATTTAAGTTTGCTTAAAATGTGCCTCATATCATGCCCATTTTAATCAAGTTATACTGTGCTATTTTAATTTTACCTAAATGCCTATAAGTTACTGTTGTTTTCTCCTTTGTAACTAAAAATAAATGACTGTAAATAATGTTAGACAAATAACATTTTATTTTGAATTAGTACTTTTAATTCAATGTTTATTTTTGAATTTCCTCATATCGTTATCCGATTTTTCAATTCGTGGTTTTGAAAAATATCGATCAATATAAAACTAATGAATGCATCAGTTAATAAAACGTCATACCAGTGCATACTTTGTTACCAAAGGCAGATACATGTTCGGTCCTCTTGGGATAAATTGACTTGTCAAATATTCTTGTCAATATCGACATACTAACAAATGATATGTAGTTTATTTATTATGAAACACAAAACACATTATCACTCAATTGTCTTACAAAGTCTTGTTGATTAAAGTGAAAATACTACTCCAGTCTTTAGTGTATACTACTGATACTGAAACTGTCTTGTTTTTGGGTCATCTTTTATTGCAAAGTTATAAGTACAAATTATATCGTTTATGCTAACAAAGGGAATTATAGCTTACTTGGGTGAACGACAGAACTGAACAGGTTAACAATCGTGATTTTAAAATGCTATTTACCTAAATCTGGTTATATTTCTTGTATCGTTTCTCTGTCTGCTCATGTAAAAAGGCTTTTACTAGTATTTTCCGATGTATCTGCACTGACTTGTTCTCCATGGAAAGTTGAAAAACATCATGATAATGTAAGACCTGAAAGAAAATAAATTCCGGTGTTAAATACGGCATAGACCTTTAAACGCTGTTAAGAGATATATGCCGATCAAACTAATCTAAAATAAAAATTCATGTTTCCCTGATACAATCTTCATATTTAAGTAATTAGCCAGCATTACAGTATTTGAACCTAAATGCGAACCAATGCAGTTAAGGATAAACTGACAAATTCTTGTGTAAATCTATACATATTCTATTCTTGTTTTTTTATATACATGTATATAATATTGAAAATGAAATAAAGAAAAATACTGACAATAATGTTTTGTCGCGTTCGCCTTTAAACAGTAATTAATGTACACTGAAATTTCAAAATAGTTTAAAAAATGACCTTCAAAATTATTTATTGTCTGTTGCGTCCGCTAAATGCAACGTAAGGTATATTTCTGCACTACGCTACGACCTTCGGAAAATGTTTTTTAAAATCATATTTCTGCAACTTTAATACTCCAATTTAGAACAATTATTGAAATATTAATGGTGCAAATACTTAAAAAAATTTCAAATAAAGTTAAAACACAGTTAACGAATGTACTCAGCAGTCAGTTATTTATTAATCATCTGTTTGCTTTTACGACATGTTGAGCCTTATATAATGTCTAATGCCTGATAAATATACGCACTCTGATTCAATATTTGAAGCACACAAACACATTTAAGACATTTACCAGCATCAAAGAGTTTCAAAAACTAAATACGTCCTTAGCGGAAATTGCAGAACTGGTGTTAACTGTTCAAAACAAATGTGTAAACATTACAATACATTTTCTTTGGTTTAATATTGGAAAAAATGCTGGATAAAATTTGATCACATTTTATCTGTATACCAAAATTGTCATGATGATATTAAAATTATTTGCAATCTGACTTTTAAACAATGACTATATAATAAAACATTTATTGCAGGGTAGCACTCAAATACATATATTGACATTTTAATTGACACATACCAAAATACTAATGCTGCAAGATAAACAATAACAGCCAGGTTTTTTATGCAAACTATTATGATTATGTGATCGCGTGGAACGTTAAAAGTATGACTTATTTTTTACGTCTGGAAATCTTGATGTTCAACACAAAGTTTTATCCGAAACATCCTTCACTGCTACACTGTCAGTAACGGAAAGGTCCCAAGACAATTAAAAGTGACAATACGTCACATTTCTTTGCAAAACAAGATAATACATCTTTATTTCGTACAACTTACCACAAGAGACTTTGTAATTTATTTTTTTTGACATTTAAAGTAGTATAAATATAACATTTCATTAGAAGCTTTTGCAACGTAATTCAATTTTCTATCAAAGCGTTTGGAACAATAAAACAAACATGTTTATCGACGAGGTTTTTAGCATCTGTTACATGGGCGCTTAATTTTACAAATATCTACAAGTGATGCAAAAAACTTGCACTTTAGTTTCATCATATTTTCAGTCTTTTTGTAATATATACGAGTATAAACCTCCAAGAAGCAGTAACAAATTTAAAGTGTATTAAGGTGATAAAACATAAAATTTACATACAGAGAAGCTTAATTGTAACACCACGAATCCTAATAAGTTAAACGATTGCAGATGCATTTTTAAGACCTAAATAATCTGTATAAAAATTTTCATCTTGTTTATTTTTCAAATTGGTAACATTATAAATAGTATTGTGCTGGATCACAAGTCAAGATTTGATTTTAAGAAAATGTTTTGCATAATATCTGTATCCGACAAAATAAAAAAAAAATGTATTTGTTCAACATTTATCATTACACCATGTACCTAGAGGTAGTGAACTTTACCATTTAATTGTTTGAGAGAACGCGAGGCAGGTTTGCTCATTATCACTTAATGTTAAACATGCATGTATCTTAACATTACATATGTTTTTCTAATTATTCCCCACTGGTTCATGGGTTTCCAATTTGTTTTGAAAATGGCAAACAATGCTGTGAAACGTGCTGTACAAAGATAGAAAAATTATCCTTAGTACTGTTGAAAAATACTAAAAAATTTTTAATTAACCCTCTGTTAAAAAAACTTCCCTACAGTATATTTCAGTAACTAAAATTAATGTTAATCATTTTTGCATGACACACAGCTTCTTTTAGTTGATATGAAGAAGTTTTAAATAAAAGAAACCACTCCTAAAAAGCGATAGAGTCTGTCATCTGTTTTTAAACTTAAGATAATATCTGGGATATAATTTAATATTCATAAAAATATATCATGGTGCATAGGCTGCATGCACAGTCATTGATCCGATTAGTACGTTTTGTTCCGAAGACAGTGTAATATTTTTAAAAAAGATGTTGAGAATTTATAAAATAAAAAATGTTTGTTCTTCATTTTAGATAAGAAATGCGAGCATATCTTTTTCTCTCAATACAAGTAAAGTTGCTTAACGATAACAAAAAAACAAAACAAAAAATAAACAAACTCTGATGCAAGCTTCCATTATCACCTTCCCTTTCGTTTTCAAAAATGATAAACAGCAGATTAACAAAGTGGAAAATAAACGAGTTTATACATGCTATGCCAAGTGTGGTTTCAAGCTACATTTTCTTATAACTGATCATTATAATTAGAAACGTATTGTTCGATGTATTTATGCTTTATAATTTTCTTTTTGAGATGATGATTCATATTCTATTTTTACCCCAATCTTTTATCAGTAAGTTAAAACAATAACTAATATGAAATATGAATGTTATACTCTTAACAGATATAATATGAAATAATAGAATTTAGAAGTCTTGCATATATTTTTCCATTGGAAATGTGTTTTGGAAAGCCTGCAAATAACGATTCTTTGACTTACCTGAAAAACAACCTTTTAACATTTATTCTCATTTTATAATACTTCATTCATAGTATTAAGAAACATTTTAGAATTGGTATTATGTATGTCCTTTTTTAATATGTGTGTTTTTCGAGTCGAAGAAACAACAATGAATGAAGTAAAATCGGATAAAACTGAATGAGGTGACAGCCGCATTATTTTTATATGCTTTCTATAGCTTATAGAATGTTATTTTAACCATGCAGTCTACAAGAGTGTGTATGTTGCTTATCATCATATCAGCTTCATCGAATTTCATTTGTATCATGGGCAAAATTAGTGCTAAAAATACTCCATGTAGGTGATAAAAATGATTATTATATGATCTAAATATAGCTGCAATCTCATTGGTCCAAACAGTAGTCAACAGAACTTTTTATAAAATCATATTTACTGGGTGTAGTATCATATTCACTGGCTGAATTGGATTTTCCCAGTCTAAAAATAGATTGAGACTCATATTCAATGATCATACACCGTAGACTGTTAATTACGCGTGTTGATTAAAAAATAATTGTTGCTTTTTGTTCTTTATGGCATATTTCTCGATTAAAATATCAATACTTTACTATTATACTTAAAGGTAACACCACAATGATGAGTATAAACTTGAATTATTTTTGTATGCGCAGCGTTCGCGTAGTCGTTGCACGCCTAACACGTGCGTCTTTTTTCCCGCGCTTCAACGAAGCAAAATTTGTACATGTATATAAAATTGTACTTTTGTGATTTTTTTTTTATTTCTTAGCCTATTCATATAATAAAACAATTATTGACTAGTGAACCATTGAATATGATGTGATATTCACCGGCAGAAAGTCATATTGACCTCGGCTATCGCCTCGGTCAATATGTCATCTGCCGGTGAATATCACATCATATTCAATGGTTCACTAGTCAATAATTGTTTAATATTGCAGTCAATTACAAATAGCTTACAAAGTCTAATTCACTCATTATTATTAGCAAATTAGCGTCAAGGGATATTTGCAAATTATGTTAAAATATTGTCTATATCTCATTATATAAAAGCATCTAAAGATTCGACCTATAACAAAACCCCATAAAAGCAATATTTGTGTGTTTCAAAGAAAACTACATCAAATACAAATATCAACAGACGCAAAAATGAATAACTATACTAGCATGAGTTCATCATTTACGTCTTCATGCTTTTTAGTTGAAATGATATAAATGACAATACAATCACCATAGCAAAAAAAAAACAAAAAAAAACAACAACTAAAAAACAAACAAAAAAACAAACAAACAACAAAACACAACAACAGTGTCTATGAAAAATTAAAAATCTTTTGTATGTTTACATTCAATTATATTTTATATAGTATTTATATTTTTGTAGAATATGTAAAAAAGTGATATTATGAGAAAAATCATATGACTTGCAAAGAAACAAAAAAAAACCCAAAAACTTTACTTTAATCAGTTTACTTTTATAAAACATATTTGGTTTCACTCAAAAGAAGTTGTCAATTGCTAAGCGTTTGTTGTGATGGGCCAAACTATCCTTTCGAACGTCAATTGTTTTGTAATGCAAACATCAATCAGTGTTTCTTTATATCAAATACCCAAAAGCAATTAAATTGCGTCGTCTTTGTCTGAATAAGACACTTAATGATAGATACAAGTGTTAGTAAATAGCTTTTAAACCGTACAAGAAGGTTCTTATACGTCTTAACATGATATACAGATAAAAAATGCTAATAAAACATAAAAAATAAAATAATAATAATGAATAGACGTAACTAAATGACACTCCGACACAAATGTTAATATGGTTACAAGTGCTAGATCCAAATGAAGCAATATGCTTTGTAAATGTAATTGATTTAAATATATTTTTTGGCCGCGTATACTCGTATGAAACGGCCATGCACATCTTTCCTCAAGAAATATCATTAAATAAATTATTTTTCCGAACGTAAATAAATCAAAATTAATTTGTAAAAAAGAATTTATTTTCAGAATTGTCATCATTTCCACTTAATACGACTGAATGGAATCATAAAATATCTGGTTCACCATTTTGTAAATGATCCGAAAAGGAAACA